AGTATATTTATCAAATTTGTCATGCATTAGAATATTGTCATAGTAAAAGTATCATTCATCGAGGTTTAAAACCTGAAAATAGTAATGATTAAAAATAACGAAAAAAAGTGAATTGTAAAATTTATTTTTCTTAGTTCTTGTTGATTGTTGTGGAAATTTAAAACTAGAAGATTTCGGTTGGTCAAATGTCAATTAAATATTTGACAAGAAATAATACGATTTTTTTTTGTTGTTGTCTTGTTTAAGGAATACAACAGCTTGTTGTACATTAGATTATTTAGCACCAGAAATTGTTGGTCATAAACAATATCAATATCAAGTTGATAATTAGTGTATTGGAGCAGCGTTTTTAATAGGATTTCGAAGCACAGTGTACGCATACACTTTGCTAAGCCAAGGATTTTATTTTCAGAGTGTACTTCATAGGAAAACAAAGTGTATTCTAAAAAAACAGAGTGTACGTACACTTTGCTCTGCTGGTGTACACTAATCATTAAAAACACTGTATGTGATAGTGTTTCAAGCTATCTCATTGTTGAATAATTTTGTTAGGCATTGCATATTATTATCAAATTTCTTTACTATTTGTTGAGTAATGATTTTCTTTTTTGTTTCTATTAATATAATGAAAAAAAAATTATTAGTAGCAGTTATGATGAAATTGTATAGAATAAATATAAATAATAAATCATTTCTTTTAGAACATCGTGTGACGTTTTGGCATTATTTTTCTTTTTTTTTACTACGAAATCTGATAGTAATGCAATAAAATATCTGATGACGTAACGTGAATGTGTTGGCAAAAGAATTAAATTAAACTATAGTTTTGTTTCATTTTTTGAGAATTATCTCGGCAGAGGGTTAGTCTTGACTTTTTTTTTAGAAACAAAAATAAAGTGAGCATTGATTAAATTTGTCAATAATGAGATAATTAAGAAAAAACAGCCATTACGGAAGTATCTTAAGATTTTGAATAAGTTTCAATCATTCTTTGAATTAATATCCATATATGAATATTTTTCTAGTTTGTTGAATAATTCTACGATCATTTATCATAGAATATATTAACACTTGTTGCGTCAAGAATAAAAGTGTTCCATTTCTTTTATGGGTTGGGTTTATTCAAATGAGAATCTATGGAAGTTTATTTTTATCTCTTCATTGTATATTCTTCTGTCAATATCATAGTAAACCGATCTCATGATAAATACTGCTGAAACAATAAACAACTGTTCAATATTTGATTATTTATATGGCGGAAACGAATTGTAGGGTGTGGAGAGTGAGTGTAGATGGCGAAAAGGACCACAACCACACTTGCGACAGTGATCTTGTACTCGATGGCGAAATATAGTTCAATTTGATTCAACAGGAATTAATAACGACTGATTCTATTGTTAAGGTACTGAAATTTCCTTTGAAAAATTGGATGATTCAGGAATTTATTAATTTCTATTTCACGTATTTAGAACTAAATCAATTGTATTCCATTAATGAAGCAATTAGTACTGAGATCATTTTTAAACAAACGAGATGTTTGAAGATTTTCAATTGGTCGTATGGCTAGTAATTAAGAAGAAACAGATTCGAATACTTTTATCTCGTGTCATAATAAACTATAATAAAGGATGTTTCATAAGTAACGGTCCCATTTTTAAAAGTCTTGCTGCATACAAATGGAACCGTTATTTATAAAACATCCTTTATATTCTGATAGAGCTTGAAATTCTCTATCATCCTATATCTTTCTGTCTTGCGTTGCATTTACTTACTAAAGGATCACTCGAATATTACAGATACACCTTCCTTGATAAACTATAAAAGACTGCATTTTTTACTATCTCTTTCGTTTTTATTTTCAGAAGTCTAGGACGATAGAGACTTTAAAGTGCTATCAGAATACATAATTAGTTGGCGAAAAAGTTGTTTCTATATTGGTAATGAACCTAAAGTAAAAGTGAAAGGGATAGAAAAAATTCAATTTTTAAAGTTTGCCAAAAGGTGCTTCTGTAATATTCGATCTATCCTTCAGTAACTAAGTTCTCTAGTATAGTGGTTATAGCGAAAGCACTTTACTAGACATTGAATTTCAACTTGAAGATAATGTCATCAAAAAGCACACATTGAATGACATAGCCATTAAAAAATGGACTTTTAAGTCAAAAACTACTTGTTAAGACCCTTAGAGAGTGCTTAAGATTCTTCTAGTGATAAACGAAATTTTCGATACCTAAAGGCAGCTCTACGAGTGAAATATTCATTTGTGATAAAATACAAAATAAGCTTGTGAAAAGACATCTCTTTCTATTTGACGAGTAATGGTTGGTAACGATAATTTTCCTCTCCTATATAGTTGATGTGAAAGTCAAGAATAATTCTTCGACAGCATCCTCAATATATCTACTGTCACCTTGATTTTCTGAAAATTAAAGCTTTTATATCGATGTTGAACTACTATGTACACTCTAGAACGAACAACTCATAAGACCAACGAAATAAAATGAAACGCTGAAACTCGACTGAAGATAAACAAATACTTTTCAAGATTGCGAAAGAGTAGCATTATCTAACGCCATCATTCGGAAACTGAATGCGTACATGATCATTTTTGATTGATGCACTGTTAATATCCAATAGAATGTTGAATAGAAACTCAGTAATATATGCACTTGATTTACTATAAAATATATCAAACTTCTATATCATTTTTCAGATGGAAAACGATTTTATTGAAGAACCTGTTTTACTTGATGATGATGAAGAAGAAGTAAAAAAAAAAACTTCTATCCAATTTCAAACACTCTAATTTACTTTTTTTCTAGCAATCATATAGTCAAACGAAGAAACATAAACATGATAAATTAATTGATTCAATTGTTCATTTAGATGGTAAAAAACGGTAAGTTTACATAGTTTATATTTTTGTTCTTTGTTTCATAAAAAAATACACATTAATCATTCTAAATAGAAAAGTAACTATTCGTAAAGAACCAATCAGTACTCCAAATAATCTTATTGCATCAACACAAACATGTAATTTATAATAAACGAATAAAATACTTTTTATTTAATTTTTCTAAATTAACTAGCTACATCATCAAAAAAGATTAAAAGTCATCAATTATTATCAAGTTTAAAAAAGACTTCATCATTACAAATTCAAACATTAAAAAAACAATTAGCAAAAGTTAATAAACACCAAGCTGTACTTCAACAACCATTACAAAAACCACAAGCAGAAAAAGTTTTATTTAATTATGAAATTAATTTTTTTCTATTCAAAAATTTGATTTTCTTCTTAGGCTGAACGTATTGCTGCTTATAATCAAGAAAAGAAATCACTTTCGAAATGGGATCCTATTGTCGAAAAAAATCGAACTGTAATCAAATATTTTTCTTTTTTCTATTTCCTAGTTGATCTGATTTTAATTAAATATAGGCAGAAACATTAAATTTTCCACTTCAAAATGGTGGTGTTCAATTTCAAACAACACAAGAATTTGTTGGAAAATTTCAAGTAAATTACAATTATTTAAAATTTTTTATATATTTTGTTTAATTTATAGACATTAAGTTCATTAGAAAAAGATATAGCAGCAATATTACAATCAAGTAATAATAATATCCAACCGAACTCATTACTTACACAAGCTGAAAAGAAAATTATTAGTAAAATGGATTTACTTGAAGTAAACTTAATTGAACAAAAAAACAAAGTTTCAAAACAAAAAAAAAATTATTTTAGGCTAAACAAAAATTAAATGAATTAAAAAAAATGCGAGCTCTAATTTCATATCAACAAGCAAAATTCAAACGTGTACGAAAAATTAAGAGTAAAAAGTAAATCGAACTACTAAATATTATTTAACTTATGACAGGTCTATAACTAAAGTTTCGAGATCAGTGATGAAAAAGATTTTGCTTTTACTTTCTAATGGCGAAATCTACAAGTTGCTAAATGCTTTTCATCCACAGAATAGACGATCTAGTCGAATGTCTTTTGTATCATATATTATCTTTGAGTCTCATCACATAAAGAAATTATATTTGTTTAATTATTTATTAAATCGTTAGTATATTCTAAAATATAGATTGATATGAAATTTCAATGTACCTATTTTGTAGCCTTCAGAGTTGTCTGCAGAATTTATTATTTTATAAATTATTTCAATTCATTTGTTTTTGTTTTTATTGAATAGATTTCGTCGTCTAGTTCGAAAAGATCGTCAAAAACAAGAAGAAAAAAATTTAGAAAAATTATCTATTGAACATCCTGATCAATTTCTTGAACGATTAGAACAACTTGAACGACGTCGTATTGAAGAACGTTCGACATTACGGCATAAAAATTCAACTAAATGGGCTAAAGAAAAACGATTATTATCAAAATTTAATACAAAAGTAAAATAAAATATTTTGATTTATTCAATTTATTTTTCCATTATTTATAGGTACGAGAAGATATTGAAGAACAATTAAAAATTGGTAAACAATTAAGTTCAAAACAAGCTCAAGCTGAAAGTGATGACAATGATGAAGATGAAGAACAATCATCGTCATCAAAGCCAACAGTAGAAATACCAAAAAAGAAATCAACAGAAATTCCATTAATTCTCGCTCCATCTCAAATTGAATCTGAAGCTAATCCATGGTTAACAACAACAAGTAGTCCAGTTTTACCATCATCTGAATATTCAAAACCAAGTGAAGTTCGAAACGAAGATACTTCATCATCATCATCATCTGATGATGATGAAGATGAAGATGAAAAAGAAAATCCAGCAGATCAAACTCAAAATGGATCATCAGAGAATACTACAAGTTATGGTATAACAAATCCTAAACAGTCAGAACATCTTAATATGCCTGATAATACGAAACGTATTGAAATTGAACCAAAACGAACAGAACAACATCAAATAAATATTCAAGAAGCATTTGCTGATGATGATGTTCTTGCTGAATTCGAAAAAGAAAAAGTAATTCAATGTTTATGATCAACATATGCTAGTTTTTTTTATGCATATTTAGACAGAAATGATCGATCGTGATCGTCCAAAACCAATTGATTTATCATTACCTGGTTGGGGTGAATGGGCTGGATCCGGTGTTCCAGTTAATAAACGAAAAAAACGAAAGTAAAGAACAATATAAAAAAAAACAAACCTTCGACTTTCATCTTTTTTTTCTATAAAGATTTTTAATCCAACCAAAGCCTGCACCACCTCGACGAGATGTTCATCTTCATCATGTAATAATTAATGAAAAAGCTGATCAGAAAATCTCTGAACATCGCGTATGTGTCTTTTTTTATTATTCTTTCGATAAAACAATGTACATTTTTCTATTTATAGGTTAGTGATTTACCATTTCCATTTGCTAATGTTGAACAATTTGAATCATTAATTCAACAACCATTAGGTCGTGAATGGAATCCTGAAACAGCGTTTCATCGTTTAAATCAACCTAAAATACGTTCACGTATTGGTGTACGTATTGAACCATTAAGTAAACAAGATGTTTTTCTTAAACGTCATCATTCGAAACAAGATCGTTCAACACTTGATTTTAATTTATCAAATAACGATCAAGAAAAATCTTCATCTAATATTGAACATGACTCTTTATTCGATAATGATCAAAGTCAAAAGAAAAAATTTAAAAGAAAAAGGAAACAAAATTAAATTCATAGAAAAATAACCATGTAACATCAATATTTCTTTTTTTTTCTCTTGTTTTGTGTTATTATATCAAATAAATATATTTGATGTTGACGCAACATATTCAAAATCTTTTATTATTCTAAACATATTTAAAACTCAATCGAACAAATCCTATTGTAACAGTTAGTCATATCATCGAGAAATAATATATGATTTCTTAATGGTCCCAATGAAATATGAATACCTCGAGAAAAAATTAGAAAAACTAAGTTTCAAATCATTTTTCTGGTAATCCGGAGGAAAAAGCCACGACATTATTATAAGAAATCTGTTTGAAAATGTAATTTCTTTGAAGCAATAAGTTAATAGCAGAAAAATATATCAAGGTATCCACATCATCTTTTGACCTACATGATGCATATGATCGCGACTCAAACGTAATTTGACACTTAACGATGTTTCCTCATAAATGAATGTATGTACATGATGATATTTTCCTGTTATATCTCGTTACATATTTATATTTTGCATGTCTGAATTTTTATACATTTAAGCTTTTTCTTTTTAAACTTTGAAATATCTATTCATTAGATTTAATCATGAAAAATCTAATATCATAATTCTCAAGTCAAGTTCTCTATGGTAGAAAATTTGTAACAACAATATATATTCAAACCATAATTGAATTTCTTTTTATAATTATTTTACGATAAGCTATGAATACTAATTTTTCTTATCACATTCAATGTTGCGATGAATTCCAATGATTCTTTTTTCGATTAGCTTAGATCAAATCAATCTCATAAAATAAGTTAATAATATATGAGAGAAAGAAAAAACAAAATACTAAACTCCATATGTGTACTTTGATATTATAATTCATATTTCATATTATTTTTGTGAATATTAATTGAGAAATAATATAATTTGGCCTTTTTGTATACACATTGCATTACACACAACGTCGTTTAGTCTTTATTCATATTCCGCAGGTGATGATAATATGGTTAATTTAATTCGTTGTGACATTTTATGACTCGACTAGACACATTTTGTATCTTAGTTTACTCTTATCATAGTTCTTGTTTGTATTATTCACGATGCCATATCGATATTTTTGATATAAGAAAAATACTTCCACTTCCTGCATTCATCAAGTAGAATTTTACAATTTGTAAATACAGTCAAATTAAGTAATAATTATGTCCTATTATTATCTTACATTACATTGCATTTATTTTTCGAGGAAGATTTTGTTTTAAAATAAAGCTTTTAAGCATTAAGAAAAGAATAAAAACTAGACTGTATACATTTATACTTTCTGTTGTTTAATTATTAATAATGAAAAAAGAATACTTCATTTCTAGTGCAAAGAATACTTCCGTTTGTATTCTCTCGTGAAAGACATTCATTTATAATAAATTATAGGAATATCATATTATGCTTTTCACTGGAATCAACTAGAAAACATAGAACATTCGATATTAATCTAGTATGTACATTTTTACATAATCTGTGAAAATAATTACTTTACATAACAGTTAATTATAAAAAAAAAAATCTTGAATATGAGTAGTTGTCTTGTTCATATACGCTAAATTATCAACAATTAAATGTTCGAGGACTTCTCTTTGATAAATTCTCATTTAACATAGTGCTCTGTGTGTTGACTTGAAGCGACCTCTACAATCAAATCATAAAAGAAAGCAAATTTTACTGTGAGATTTATTTGAGTATCGATTTTAAAAATAAATTAAATAAGAATTATAATAAAAAATCAAAAGAACTATTTTTATTCTCGCGCCACAATCATTGTGAATTTTCCGGTAGAATCTAACTACAATTAATGTTTATCCATTCATAACATTTAGTTTTAAAAAATCAAAGCAAGAAAAAAAAAATTGACAATTCAAGAAAAGAATGCCCTCATCGGGCACTGTTCTTGAGTCTTCAAGTGTATCAATGAGATCTATGGATATGAGTCAAACAGTAAGACACGGATCATCAGGAACTCCAACAAATTATTCAACTATACCAGATGATCGTGAAATTTTCAAAGTATAGTGTTCTATAGAATAAGAAAATAATTAATTTCTATATAATATATGTATTTATTATAGGCATTACATGATTGTATGAAAGATGTAGGAAAATTTCGACAATATACTTATTATCTTGGTACATCATGTGATACAACAAAATTACGAAATAAAGTTCAAAAATTAAAAGAACGTATTAATCGTAGTTTTTATCATCAACGAGAACTTATAGGAAATGGAGCATCATCAACAGGATCGTTAGTTTAAATATTTGATTAATCAATTTTGATATATTATTTTTCTTTTTTTTTTATACATTTAGAATCAAAAGTGAATTAGCTATTCGTCGTTTTGACAAATGTTTATGTTTTACATTAGCTGCACTTAATTATTATGAAGATTTACTTCATAAATTTTCTATTCTACTTGTTTATTTTCCCATAGCTACTGGAGGTAATAAAAAAATTTCTTTAAATTTTATTTAAATATTCGATGATGAAATCAATTTTAGATCGTACCAATGTTGTTAATTTGGGTTTTGAAGATTCAACTATAAATGCTGATGAATTTTCATATGAAAATCATGAAAATGAAGAAAATGAAACAAATCGTTACATTGAATTATTGAAGTAAATCAAATAATTATTTCATTAGAAAACAAAACAATTCTTTAATATTTTCGTCTTTAGTGAAATTCAAGGTGTTCAAACACTACGTGAAGAAATCGAACAAATTGATATTTATCAATCACGACATCATGCAACATCTTATTCAAAAGATTTTGGTTAATATTTGAAAATTTTTACGAAGCAAAAAAAAAAAAAAAGACTTTTGTTTTCTTTTTTCATCTATTTAGTTGAAAATATGCATAAATATACAACAGATTTAATAACTGAAAATACTATTAGAAGGCCTAAAAGACGACATCGTTTAACACGTTGTTATTATCTAAATGAAGACTCTTCATCATCCGTATGTTAATATTATATGTACCTATTGTTGTTGTATGTAGATTGTCTTACGTTGTTTTTGTTTTTGTAAGATATGGATTATTTGTTGTTGACGGTTAAAATATTTTTCTTATCAATTCTTTTCTCCTTTTTTCCTTTAAATATAGTTTTCAATATGTCATCGGCGGTTTAATCGACGAGAATTTGTCTGTACTTTAACAGTTATATTATCAATATTAGTTATTGTCGGTATTATTATTGTTATTATTATCGCAACAAAAAGAGTATCTACTGGTCAATGAATATTTTAATGGTCAGATTGTTTTTTTTTTTTGACATTTGTTGAAACAAAGATATTAGAATTGATGAACTTTATATAGATATATATATTTGTATAGATATCTCGTCAAATGTATTACATTTGTTCAAATTTCTTTTTTGTGTTCGCTTGATTCGTATGCATATATATTGCTATTTGATGTTATATGTTTCAGATTTATATTATCAAAAATGTTTATTATACTTGATCTTCTCAAGCGACAATATAACAATATTTTATTTGGTTGAAATAATTTCCGAGATTTTTGTTTATTCATATTGTCAAAATTCGGTTTGTACTCAGCTTTATTAAATAAAATATGTTATTGCATTCATCTTCAATTATGAGAAACTTAAACAGTTTTGAATCATCATGCAAGAGATGTTCGAATCCAAGTTATTTCTTTTCTATGCTTAATCTATTGAAAGTAATTCAAAGGGAAGTTATAATTAGAAAGAATAAGCTCACATGTTGAAATAAAGACTAGATTTTAGAACAAAATCTAAATGAGATGCCGAGTGCTAAATATTAATTTTATATAATCTGTACATAATACCTGAAAAATCTGTTTTTTTTTCCTTGAAGAACAATAAGTTAATAAAAGAAATATGTCTAACAATTCTTCATTTTCTTTAAACATAAAAATAAAGCAATACAATTAAATAAGTAAGAAAGAAACTATATTTCATTTGTAAGTAATAAACAATCGATAAAAGACAAAGAGATTTCATATTCATTTTTCTTACATATGTCTTTATTTGTTTAGATACAAACCCTAAATCTCTATACGTCATTAGACCTTTCTTATCAAATTGGGATCATATTACTAAATTTTCAACATAGTACAAAAAACAGCTAGAGTAAGAAGCTTTCCTCAATAAACAGATCCTATGGTATTCATCATGTCCTGAGAAGGTTTTAGGTCAATTGAATAAGTTTCTTTTACGATATGGGTTATCTAAAAAATGGACTGACGTGAGAGAGTAATGTTTTTTTTTCTAATAAGGCTTTATCATCGATGAGAAGCATATTATTTTATAATATGTTGAAAATTTAGTGTAATGAGCTCAAACGAAGAGTAGCAAGTTCGAGAGATTCCCTGGTTAGACAGAATTTATATTATTCTTCAATATGTTTACAAAGTTACACATAAATATTTGTTGCTCAAAATTATCTATCAACGAAAAAAGAGATCCCTAAAATGTATAGATGATGTATTTGAAACTTCAAATCCATGAAATCGATCAAAGGCATCTGAGCTTTACTCTTTTTTTTTGCGTAGAATAAATTATATTCTATATTTAATTTGCCTGATAGAAATGAATAAAATTGAGATAGTTTGTTTTAGTTTTGCTTTAGATTATATAAATCATGATTGAAGGACATCTTTATATATTTCCATTGTTAGTATGTGCACTTATACCATTTGCCTATTTGATTTCGTAAGTTTCTATTAATGTTGTTTTTTATTTTTACTATTTTTATTAATTTAGTTTCATTGTTGCTGTTCATCTTGGTCATTCAAAATTTGAATATTTATTTTTCAGGTAAAACTATATCGAAACTGAATATAAATCTATTTTAGTTGGAGCCCTTCCTCCTGAAAATTCATTCATAGGATATGTTGGAACTAACTATATAGCGCATTTAGCAATCCGAAATTCTCTTTTGTTTATTATTAATTGCTTTTTATTTGAAAAAGTATATCAAGATGCAGAGTATGAAACACTCCTTCTTTTTAAAATTCTTATGCTCTAAGCTAAGAATAGTTCAATGTATCGAAAACATCAGGAAATTGCGTTCTAATTATAAAAGTACTTTTTCATAAAATAGTGACAAAACTTAATTCAAAAAAAAAAGGAACTCAGTCATGCTTTGCATCTTGACGTGTTCTTTTCAAACGAAAAACAATTAAATATATATCAAATAATAGCCCATAGAAAATTCTAAATTGCGCGATCTAAAATATCCGGTACTGCTCCCGGACTTGGGACCGGAACCAGAATCAACATTTTTTTTCATAGCGAGCAATACTTTTTATAGTAGTGTAAAACTTGTGTCAAATGTCACATTGTCACAATTCATGTATTCTAAATCGATATGGGACAGCTGGTTTCGCTTCTGAGACTAAAAACGATTCATTCTGCGTTAGTTCTATTTCTATAATAATAGAAATAGAAGAACACCACATGTAAAAAGCTATTATTTTATATAATAGAAAAAGAAAGATTTACCATGAATGTTCTTATCATATGTAATTTTATATTGTAATTCAAGTAGAAACAATTCTAGATTATTTTCAAAAATTTAATTAATATCTTTTTTTTTTGCTCCTTAACCTATCTATAATTATGTAAATGTGTTATTCAATACTTAAAGAAGGATGTACGAAATCTAGGTACTCTTTTACAAAATTTTTAATACAAAATCCTAGAGGAAATAAGTACTTAAAATTACATGATAAAGTGACTACATGTTGAGTTCATTGTTCTAGACGTACTCAGATTTTTTTTTTTCTTTATTAACTACATTCTAATAGACTCATTCAATGAGTGTTCAATAGTATTCTATATTTAAGTATTAATGATATACTATTAGCAGAGTCATACAAATAGAATTCTTGATTATCAATCCGATATGTGTAAAAAAAACTTTGTGTTTAATTAATATTTTAATAATTAAAATTTTTATTCTGTACATTTAGTCACTCGTTAATTGATTCACCAGAATCATGCATTTATTCACAAATTATTAATTTTACTTCATTCATTCGTACGTATTTTCTTAATTATAATAATATAGAAAAGAAATTTATAAACATTTTTTGTTTCAGTTATCATTACAATTTATATTCGTTATCGTCAAATGTAAGTTAATAATTGTTACAAAATAAATTATTATGTTCTTTCATAGAGCTGAACTTATTCGTAATCATCCAACATGTGGAAAAAAATATTCTCAATTAAATTTAACTTTTCTTGTATGTGGATTGATTGCTGCATTTAGTATGAGTATTATTTCAAATTTTCCTGTTAGTATTTTATTAATTTTTATTCATAAATTTATATTCTTTTTTTTTTTTTTTTATTGTTAGCATACCAATGTATTTCTGGTTCGTATATGTGCAACATATATAACATTTATTATGAGTGTTGGAACCCTTTATTGTGAAATGCTCTTATCATTTTGCATTCGACCATTATTGTATTCAAGTAGAATACTACCATTTATTCGACTGATACTTAGTATTATTTGTACTTTCATACTTATTACATGTAAGTAATTAAAGATATTGAATAGCAGAGTTTTTAATAACGTAGAAAGAGTTCTCATTACTGCCATATTAAGTTAGAAAATGATAAACAATTACGGTCACTCTGCTTTTCTCTCCTCATCAACAAAAAGTCAATTTTCATCCAAAAAAATGACAAAATAAGATAAATGCATGGCAAGATAGACCGATGGCTGATCTTCAATAATTGACATGATTTTTTTTTATTTTGGCATCACGTTATTTGCCAAAACTTTAAATGATTTCTGTCAGCTTCTGTTTGGAGAATATGTTTTTTTTTTCAGAAAGAAAAGCAGAAAATGTTTTCTTTTTTCGTTTTTTGTTCATCGTGCATTTAGGAATTCTCGAAGGAACTTCACTAGAGGCAATTGCTTTGTATTTTGTTTCAAAGAGAATATGTCAAGATAAAAGGCTTGACAGAATCCTGTTATTGAATTAAGCTTTGTTATTATTATTTGAAAGAGTAATTTTATAATTAGAGTGTTAGTTTCTTTGTGAGAGTTTTTCGAGATGTCGAAATTTTCAACTCTTTTCTCTATTTAAAAAATAGCTTTTTGATGTTTTACTCTCTTCACTACAGTTTTAACATATCCTGAGAATTCCATGCCGTTTGATTATACTTAGCGAAAGATTGATCTCAGAGTAGACAGTCTTAGATAATATAGAATAGATATTCAGATTAATATATATGATAAAAATAGAAGTGATAGTTCACTGTCATGCGAAGTCATTTTATTACTTATCAAAGCCTTCTTCCGATTATGTGGTGAGTCATAATTAAGGAAAGGTAAAATATCGATGCTGAGTATACATCATATCGAGTCGTATTGAGGTTAGTACATGCCTACATCTCTCCCTTCTCAACATATTAAATATTGAAAAGAAGATTACATTTCGATAATTCATATTAGCTTTTATAAGCAATATTTTAGTCAAAATTTAGAAAAATGTCTATATCTAATTCTAGTATGCTTTCAATTGACTTCTGATTGCTAGAAGAAACAATATTCATATTATCAATCATAAAATTTACATACGGGCTCAATGTGTCAGGTCGAAAATATGCAGAAGCATCCTGAGTAAATTACCGGAATAACATCGAAATGAAATATTTAACATATATGAAGAGAGATAACATCAACAGTAGATAGATATCATGCAGTATACTTGTAATCAATGTTATTAGTTAAGTATCTAATTGATCATGAGAGTGAAAAAACAAAAATTTAATCAACACTGAACTGAGCAAACATATATTGTATGCATAAACTTCAACACATCGTCAATAACTAAAATTAATAGAAGCCTAAGGGATGAGGCGTTGTTGCGGTTCTACTCTTAATCTACACCCACACCCTTCCTATTACTACAATAATATCTTGTTTTTTTACTACTCTGATATACCACCCTTCGATTGAAATCAGGTCTATGTTGAAAATATTATACTTTAGGTTTAAATCTTGGTAAACTAATGAAAATTTCCAATAAAGAACTCAATGACATGATATTTTCATTAATTTCTATTTCTGATAATTATGTAGATTCGTAACAGATGAGACAATAATGTTGCCAGTCCAGCCAGCGAAAAGTTTCAGTATAAAATTTTGTTTAAATCAGAACTTCTTCGCTTATTAAGACAAGATAAACTATCCAACATTTGAAATAAAATCTTGTATTTTATTTTTAATTTGTAGTAATTATTTTTCAAACAATCACTATTGTTAAATATGATAATGAACAAAAACTTTGGACATCAACAAGTCTTGTATGTATCTTTATAAACAAATCGAAACATAAAAATAAAACATTTTTTTTTTTTTATTAAAGGGTTGGAAATATCATTTGAGTTCTACTTTATCTGCATGGATTCTAACAAGTTGTCTTCTTATTTATATTTTAACATTAATTATTGATTTTCGTCGTATTAAAATAATCTCACCAAAAATCTATCTAACTAATGATATTATTGATGATCAGATGAATCAGAGATTATCATTATCAATATAAAGATAACAGTAATTTCTTGTTAATTTTTATTTCCTACTAGTCTTCATCATTTTTATTATATGTTAACATTGAAAAGATAGAATGTTACAAAAAAAGAAAAAAAATAACAAAGAAAACAAAAAGCATAATTTTTTTTTCTCTGTCACATTTAATTTTGTCTCATTTCGAACGTCAAATAAATCAGAAGCATGTATTTTTATTAAAATTGTTTTGTGCGATATATATAAACATTTTCATATTATGAAATAAATTTTATGTAATTCAAGATTTTATATAAAAGCCTTTATTCTTTAATCAATAAGAAATTCTTACAAAGTATATTTTTAATTTTAAAAGATATTTCACAAGTTGTACAAATGTGTCTTATAAATTTTTTACATTATTATAAAATCATATAAAAAATTGTACCTATTTTAGTTCAAGTAAATGTATTTATGTAGGAATTCGTAAACCTATTATTATGTTCTATTCATGAATGTACTCAAGATTCTCCAAAACAGTTGCATAAAATTGACTTGCTATTGAATCATAAACAAAATATGGTCTCAGTGGGCTACCAACTCATTTATGTTTATACACTTGAAAAAAATTGATCTGTTATTCATTGGATATGTTTGGTTAATTAGAAGAAAGATTGTTTTCTGCATAAGAGTTGTTGTATGAAGCTTTGATTTGTCTAAAAAAAGAATTTTTTACAGTTACTTTGATACAAACTCTATAATAACTGATTCTTTACTAAAAATTATGGCTCGATAGGACAAAACGCTTCTTTGAACATTGAAATACATAAAATTGTACTTAAATATAATGATTAGATTTGTCTCTATATTATATTACATATGAATGAAAAGATCAACCTCTTGTATCATCATTGATAATTAACGACGAAATATCTTTTTTTTATATCTTGTATATGTGCATACATATAGATAGTATCAAACAATCAGTAATCAGTATTCTCATTCTATTTACAAAGAAAACCAATTGAAGTCAAAACTATCTAAGCATTAATCTTGAACTTGTTAAAGAAAGAAGACATTTAATTTGACAAAAAAAATTGACAAATATAAAGATGTCTTCAACGAAATAATGATAATATGATTATGTACATTTTTTACTTCTTCATTGAGTTAATTAAGAAAGAACTAATTTCAAGTCATAGGAAAATATTGGCTAAAAAGAAGAAAAAGAAAAAGAAAAAAAATTGGCTATTTTAGTATTGCATGTTGATGAATAGAATGGATTTTTTTTTTGTTCTTAGCATTTCTTCTGGTTCTCTAGAATAAGTACGATCATTTGTAAGGAAAAATTACTAGTGCTAAAGTCGTAAGCATTAGCTATAGGGCTCTAATATAACAGTGATCTTTTTTTCCTTTTGTTTCGCTGATAATTTCCGTCGAACCAACACATGACGCTGACTCCCTATTTCTCATGAGACCAAAAAAAAAGATAAAGATTGATATGGCGAACATACTTGCCAAAGTGGTCTGGGGGCGTAATAAGATCAGTGTTTTGCATGTCTATGTGTCTGAGTATAATGTGTCATGTTTATTTGATGGACGCGGTCCAATTGACATTCAATATATATATATATACATAACTATCGTTGGAATTATTTTACAGAATCTAGCATATTATTGGTTAAGTTATAAATGATGATAAAATGTTTATTTATTTTCAAAATAGCATCATTAGTAAATTATGATCACTTAATCAATTGTGAAAATAACAAGAAACTAATCAAGACTTTGTTTATTTGCTGAGAAACATATGTGTCGGCACTCGAGTGATACAAAAGAAACACTTTTACGTTTGTTGGTCTTTATCAACAATGGCATTAGAAACGGATTAATTGTATTCGAATTGTTACACTTTATTAAATCCGAAGATTATAGTAAATCGTATTAAATAATATTTATTAATGATTTCTTAGTCATGGAATGTCAAATTGAGTTGAATTTTCTTTTATTTGATAGAGAGGAAAGTTATTTATTTGTGCCGAGAGTCTCTTTAGTTGGTAAGATTATTTCATGTATAAGTACAAACCATGCTTGATAATTATGTTGTTTTGATAGACAGCAACAATCTAAACTATAATCTCATTGTGTTTATTTTCTAGAGCATGAAAATTCAATTTTGAAAAAAAAAAATTTGATAGTAAAAAAAAAATTGTGTTTTACTCATCAATCTTTGTCGATCTAAATCAACTCGACATTTTCTTATTGAAAAATGAGCTTTGACATTTTTCATAGACTTTAACATCACATGTTATATTGTCTTTTTTGCCACAAGCTAGTCACACGTGTTCAGTCTGATACAACTTTAAAACTGTATGATACTTAGGTCGTATTAGTCATAATTCTACTTTCTATTGACTTGATCAGAAATGCAGAAACTATCTTTTAAATTTAGAATATGAGATGCATCATTATTATTTTATGAGTAATATTAACACTCACGGTAAAGAAGTTTTGCAATTTTTCTAGAAATTACTATTCGAATTTACAACAAAGTTATTTCGCCTTTAGAATTGCTTTTCTAATTCATATTTTTGTACATAAAAAAATAGAAATTGACTTTCTAAATAACACCAATATATTGAATAGAGCAAACGTATAAAATCAGACATATAGTAAAAATGAAAGACAATCCATGTTTATGTATATATTTGATTTCCTGCATATATCTTCTAATGTTTTCGGCAACAACTCTTTCTTTTTTTCTCTTGGTTTAGATTCCGTAAAGATGCAAAACAGATGTTGATGCTTTTTTGTTGCTGCTCTTACAATTTTCATATGACAACGAAGACTAATCATGATTTCATCAACATTTCCTACTAACTACCGTCATCATTAAAAACAGCATGAATTCATCTTATAGTTTAATAATTGACTTTTTGTTATAATCACAAATGACTTATTTTATTTTTTTATGTATAATAGAACGAGTAAAGTCATTCTCTCAAGGTCTTTTTCTTTGTCTGTTTGTTTATTTTGTTTCTTCAAAAAAAAAAAAAAAGAAAAGATATACATTAAGTATTCATTATAAAAACTTTGATCGTGATTGTCTCTTTTTTTTATCGTTTATTATATATATAGAATAGATATAGAATAGATAAGAATAACAACTTCTATCTATTGATTCGAGTTTTCTTTTTTGTTTTATACACTTAAATATAGATCATACACTGAGATCTAAGAAGAACAATGAAAAAGTATTGACACTAATCTGTATGTCGACATGAATGTACATACAGCTTGTCAAAATCATTCTTTGCGTCAATGAGAGAAAGGAAATTAGATTTTTCTATAATTTTCTGTTGTTCTATTCCTATACATAAATACATAACGACAAATTGTGATTATTAGTCAACAAAACAAGCTCCATTACATTACAAAACAAAACTTTTACGTCGAGTATGTAATCGGCTTATCATTAAAATCCATCATCGCTCCTATTCGCTCGACTTCCGCCTATTTCATTAGATTTTCTTCGTTATTCTATGTGTATACTCAAAAAGGAAAAGAAAAAAGAAGAACATCTTTTTTCTTATTTTCTTTTTTTTTTCCTGATGAGTATCAAATAACATCCGATAATAATAAGAGCAGTAGGAAAACAAAAATCATCAGTATGTAAGTTAGACTTGACAATTATTAATGGGATCATGTATTCGTTAATTCTGATACATATAGATAAAGCATTTCTTAAATTTATTATTAATTTCTATGCGCTCTCTCTCTTGTTTTTTAAAATTTTTTGATGATATAGAAAGGAAAAGAACAAATATTAGTTTTGTCTATTAAAGGCTTTTATGAACCAATGAACTGTGTAATTCTAATATTATTCATGTTTCAATAGATATTAAATCAAATATTCTTTAAACATGAATGGTGATACTGATGAAACAAATAACAGTGAGCATTGTTCATCAACAAATAACACAACATCACTATCATCTAGTGTTCCACAAAATCAAGAAAAAATCAACTTAAGTTCATCATTTTTTAATGAGAGTATTATTGTAACACAAAATAATATGAATTCAACAATTAATAATACAACTGACGAAAATTTATTAACAATTTCAAATAATAATGAAGAAAATCCAATGAATAAATCATTTAAAAGAAAAGTTGTGTCATTTAGTGCAATGCCATTTGAAAAAAAAGTTGCTGATGGTAATAGAGAACACATTTATTTATTTATTTATTTATTTATTTTGAATTATTAAAATAATTTAGTTTACGATTGTCTTCGTTATATGCAAGAAGGCAGTGATTTTCTTAAAGTTCGTTCATATGTTCGACAATTTCGTCGTTTATATACATTAAATGATAGTTTAACTGCAATAAGTTGGTATCCAACATCAAAGAAACCATCAAAAGCAATTAGTAAATATTTTCGAACTAAATCATTTAGAAATATTTCAAATTTCTTTCTTTTTGATCATTCTATTTAGTTACAATTGATTCAATAAAAGAAGTACGTTTAGGAAAAACAACTGAACGTCTTCGTGAACATGCACAACAATTTGAAAATGAATCAATGTTTTCTATTATTTATACAGATGGAAATAATGATTATGTTTCATTGGATCTTGTTGCAAGTAGTGCTGATGAAGCAAATATTTGGGTAACAGGTTTATCATGTCTTATTTCAGGACACGGAAGTCCTTTGACATCATCAGGTAGAATTCTATATTTAACTATATTCATGAGATTCAAATGATATTTTCAATGTTGATTATTTCCTTTGTCATTTACAAATTAAGCTAAATTTCCAGAACGTAATTTAATTGAGAACAATTTCAACAAGTCTTTCAAGACAACAAGATTCGGGATGTATAAATGATAGCTCTATATATAAATAGTAACAAGTAAATGCTTTTTTCTTCGAAGAATTAATAATACCAATATGTTATTACTACGTACGTACTAAAACACTAAATAATGCGCTTATATTACTTCATTTCTTCTTATCGAAAGACAAAAATGTTGATA